ACTACAAAGAACACCGCATTTTCCAGTCAAACAATCCTCGCAGTCCGCGACAGAGAGACGGAGAAACGGACAGGCAGACTGTGAAGAAGCAGAGACGGTGCACCGATGGAAAGTTCCAGAAGACTTCTGAGCGTATGAGAGATGAACCCATGCAGAAGATATGTGTGAGCTCAGCAGAAATAGTGAGGAGGAATGAGGAAGAGAGAAAAAGGAGGAAATGAAGGAGAGAGAGAGAGAGAGTTAAGTGTGTAGGAGAAAGACGGCCCGTCCTTCCAGAACATTCTACGCTGCACATCGATCTTTTCTTTCGGTTAAGGTTCAGCGTGGGAATGGTGTCGGCCTGGTTGTTCCTATGGTTATCCGTGCTAGTTTGATGGGTAGACGAGTGCCATTCGGATAGGTACCATTTCCATTTGCACCTCCTACCTGGAAGGCATCATTCGAAGAGGTACCACTTATCTGTTGCTGTGACAAGATACGACGGGGAGATGCATTTTATATTTTGCGAGTGGTTCTGAGGGTTTTTATCATGTACCTGGTTAGAGATTTGTGTGTCTCATGGTGAGCTTTCTGAATGGGTGAACAGAGGTGTTCGCTAGAGAGTAATTTTTGAGGACGAGGCACAAGATACCGGATAATGGACTTGTGGAGCAGGGTCGAGGTGTTCACGAGCTTCCTATATAGGGGTTCAAGAAGTTGGGAATGTTGAGCTGATTTCTAGGGTTGGAATAATTAATGATTTTGATATTCTTGGCTGACTCTACTAAATACGACTCATAACTATTTCTACTGTTGTGATGAGTAGTTGTCTGATCGTATTTTGTTTATACACAATATTTTCTTACTTTTATCCAACGTGGCAACATTATCGATCAGTTTATAGGCTTATTAATCCACAAAGTTGAAACGAAAATGTTCCGTATTGGTGGACAATCGATGGCACGGCTTGTTTCACGTACAATACGATCGACCGTAAGACACTATGCCAAAGATGTGAAATTTGGCGCAGATGGGCGTGCTTCGATGCTGTACGGTGTGGATACTCTAGCGGATGCAGTCGCAGTCACAATGGGGCCGAAGGTTATATTTGATGCGCTTTTCCGATTCTTATAAAGCACTTTTGAGCTATGTTGAAATTAATGATGAAATTGTCATGACTGTTAGAAAGTTAAAAATTGACGTCAGGTTTGATAAGAAATTCTTATATTAATCGTAGATGTCTCATAATATCACTTCTATTCCTTCCAGGGAAGAAATGTTGTAATTGAGCAGTCATGGGGAAGTCCAAAGATCACAAAAGATGGCGTTACTGTAGCGAAAGCGATCGATTTTAAAGACAAATACAAAAACCTGGGAGCAAAATTGGTGCAGGTAAGCCGAAACAAATTTATGAAATTGATATCATCAAACTTTAGCGCATTATAGGCATAGTCTGTCATCGTTGCTTGTATGATGTCGTTTATTTTAGGATGTAGCAAACAAAACCAATGAAGAGGCTGGTGATGGTACCACATGTGCTACAGTTCTGGCTCGAGCAATTGCAAAAGAAGGTTTTGAGAATATCAGCAAAGGAGCTAATCCAGTGGAAGTGCGGAGAGGTATATTTCATAGCAAAATTAACACTTAGCGCTTGTTCTATTTTATAGTATACTTGTATATAGCTTTGTATTTCAAATATTTTTATCTCTTTTTGTCCAACTCTCTGGCAAATATCAATTGATTTAATTCGTGATGTGCAACAATATTTCATAGGAATGTTTTTAACATTGCTGGAAAAAGAAATTTCTTGCATTTCATCCTGAGATACCGAGTCATTTTTTGATCAAAGTTATAGTTATATTCCCTTTCTGATATGCAGGAGTAATGAATGCTGTGGAACTTTTGGTTGCTGAACTGAAGAAAATGAGCAAAGATGTGACAACTCCAGAAGAAATTGCACAGGTAGCAACAATTTCAGCGAATGGTGATTCCACTGTAGGGAAATTGATATCCGAAGCGATGAAGAAGGTATGTTTTCGTGTTTTGCTTGACCGCATATTTTTCCAAGTATTGGTTCTATTTTCAATATGTGCAACACATTCTGCAGTGTGAGAACATGCCCAGCCTTCATCAATTGATAAATTTTGGGATTTCATCCTTTGTCTTGCCGGATATCAGTTCCCTTTGGTGATTTGTAGTTTTATGCCACAAACATTGTTTTGATAATATTATCCACTAGTAAAATTAATGATTTTTTATTGTTATTGCGTCTGTTTTGTCTGTGTATGTCAGAGGTTATTAAAGTAGAAAAAATTCATAATCAACTGCTGAAAACTTCAGGTCGGAAATAGGGGTGTAATCACGGTGAAGGATGGTAAAACACTTCATGATGAATTGGAAACGATCGAAGGAATGAAATTTGATCGTGGATACATTTCCCCATATTTTATCAACACCACAAAGGGAGCGAAAGTGGAATTTGAGAAATGTCTTCTTTTGTTTTCGGAAAAGAAAATCAGTCAAGTGCAGGTAAGTGATGTCGAGCTAATCTGTAATATGAATTTATAAGCGGCTGCAGAGTCTGAAACAAAAAAAAAAACGATAGTATGTTGATCTTCGCTAAGAAGTCTTGCAAATGCGCAATCATTTTCGCTATACACTGCATATTACCCTATCTGCATAGCCATATCTTGGTGCTGCATGTTTAGTTGTTGTATTATCAACTAATAGCTGTCGATTTTTATGCTTTCAAACAATTTTTATGCATGGCATGTTAGTTTTAGGATATTGTACCGGCTCTTGAATTGGCGAACAAGTACAGAAAGCCAATTGTAATTATCGCGGAGGATGTGGATGGTGAAGCACTTACTACTCTTGTGCTTAATAGGTTAAAGGTAATATCTCTATTTCATGATACCTGACAAATGAGAAGGGGAATAGAAATTTAAAGTTCCTATTTTTGTGTTGAATAAAATGTAATTGTACTACTGAATCTAATCATTTACGATTCTTACGGTACTTTTTTGATACTATATTTTAAAAAATATTGACAAATAAATGGGGGCATAACTAAATCTTCAGATGTCACGCGTCACTGAAATGTGAAGTCTCCAGGAGAGAAAAGCCATAAAGAAGTTAGGTAATATATGAGAGCACTATTAGTTTGCTTTACGTTTTTCAGGTTGGTCTCCAAGTGGCAGCTGTGAAAGCACCTGGTTTTGGAGATAACAGGAAAAATACATTGAAGGATATGGCAATAGCTACCGGTGGAACAGTCTTTGGAGATGACGCTAATTTGCTAAAAATTGAAGATGTGCAGATCAGTGATCTCGGCGAAGCTGAAGAAGTTTCAATCACAAAAGATGATACACTCATCTTGCGTGGCAAGGTATAATTAGATATTGAAGGATTTCGAATATGTCTGCAAGAAAGTGAGTGGTTAAAACCCCCGTCATCTAGTAAGAAGTTTGAGGACGGAAATTGTAAGTTCAATACAGGTTGGGGTTATAAGTTTGCAGCATTTATCAATCTAAAATAGTGTCGGCATCCAGATGGTGTGCGCATCTTTCGTAAATCATTGATATTTAATCTTATATCGAAACACACTCATAATTTTATATAAAGGCTAATAATAATAAAGGAAAAACAAAAAGATAACACTAAAAAATGAAATTTAAAACAAAGTCTATGTCAGCAAGAAATCATAAATATTTCATTGTCGCCCCTTCCCACTACTTTAAGATAAACACGTCTCACTTTCTCTCATAATGAACTAAACTGATTCAAATTTTCATCGTCCATGGGACTCGTCGCAAAATAGAATGGTTCTCCTTGCTTTTATAAAAGAGTTGATATAACGAATACAATATCAAAATTTTTTGTCTGTGCAAACTTATTAGTTGGAAATAACTTCTGTTGTGGCATAAAAACTTCTAATTCCATCTTAAAATATTGGGTCAAGACAATTTCAATTCCAAAAAAAAGACGTTAACATTGCTCGTGATGTATTGTGATCAAGAATTTTTAATTGAAAATAATTTAAATAAAATAGAATATCAAAAACTCCCAAAAGTTACATTCATGTTTGAAATCGAAGTATATTATTAGATTCATCATAAGCTTTAGATTTTTTTATATCATGTGTTAAATTATTGAGAAAGCGATTTATTATATATGAATTATAAATGAGAATCGTCTGCAGGGGAAACCTGAAGACGTGGAAAAGCGAATTGCTATGATTGAAGATGAGCTGGAGCAAAGTACATCTGAATACGAAAAGGTAAGTTTAAATGATTTCTAAATAAGTTCTTTTTCGTT